AATATTGCAGAACTCAAAAAAAATTCAAGGACCAATTTGAAAGTGAGAAATTCTACTAAATGACTATTTAGTGATGGGAACGAGGAGCATATTAGCCGTGGTATTTTTAATGGAGTTTGGTCACCGAAGTTTTGATTAATTACAATAAGGATCGTGCTACTCTACCAGATTGGTACAAAATCTGGTAGAGCCAATGAGTCTTGGGGTGGGGTGGGGGGTGATAAAATATTAACTAGAGCGGGATATAAGTTAATATTTTTAATTAAATGACCACTAATGTAACAATTATTGAGTGACTATTACCGTAAGAAAATAACATCCATCACCATTAATGTAATACTCAAAACTTTAGTGACTCTGACATAATTAACCCATTTTAAATCACTTTTTGGAGCATATGCATTAAAATTAATCAAAATATTGAGATACGCGTTGAATATTTGGCTTGTGAAATTGAATCGGATTTGAACAATTATGAAGAGCGAATGTACGAATAATCTAGAAGCTAAACTATCATATGTGACGAGCCCCATAATTAAACGTGATCACCCTCATCCAGCGATTTCCTACTTGATGACAAGTCTAGTGGATATTTTCACAACATGCATTCTTCTCGAAGTTGAATAAAATCACAAGATATCTATATATTTAGGTATCCAATATCTTTACATTATACTTCATGCCAAGGAACAAAATTTTAGGTTTAAATATTTTTTTACTTATTTTATTTTTATTATTTTTTGGTAACGCTAGTTTTCTTTCACTATTAAATATATAATACTCAGTATTATCAGTAAATTTCGTGGATATAAATTGTGATAGAACATTTCCTAACACTATTTGCATCAAATAAACATGTGACTTTTAATTTTACTAGTCAGAGTTGAGCGTGCACCATGAAATCTTAGTAAATTTCGTGGATATAAATTGTGATAGAACATTTCCTAACACTATTTGCATCAAATAAACATGTGACTTTTAATTTTACTAGTCAGAGTTGAGCGTGCACCATGAAATCTTTTATAAGTGTTGTAAAAGTAATATTTGACCCTTCATTTACTCTTTTGATCTAAATATGAGAGAAATGCAAGTTCCTGAAAATAAATGTTAATTATTATGCATGTACGTAAATAGTGAAACGCAAACTTGAATGTGAGTATTAGAAATTTAGAGTTACAACTAAATGCATACATAAAGATGGATGACAAATACAATACATTAATTAGTGTGAATATTAATTAATTCAGAATTAATATTAAAAAATATATATGTGACAACGAATGTTCGAATCATTTTTATTAAATGAATATAATTTAACCCATGTTTGGTACACATTAAAATTTTCATTCTCATTCTTCTACTCATTTTCAATCACCCATTTTTCAATAAAATAATATTTTCCATCACATTAATAACTTTTCCATCTTTTTCAATCACAAATTCTCCATCAATCTACTATTCGAGAATACATTCTTTCAAAATAATGTGGATCAAACACATCCTTAATTTCTAATAAAGTGAAACTGGATGCTAATTAGCATGTGAATGTTAATTAATTAAAAATTAATTATAATATTTATTATAGTAAATTAAATAAATTTTGAAAAACAAAAATTAATGAATTATTGAAATAATTGAATTGTAGTATGACTATAATCGTCCAAAAAATAATTATCACTTGATGTAATATTTAATATATTATAGATAAATAGAACATTTCCTATCACTATTATTTGAGTTAAATGTTTAATGACCACTGAACTTTACACCATATCACGGCTTTCATCAAACTTCCAAAAGCATCCTATCAGCCACTGAACTTTACACCTCATTGTCCATTTCTCACCAAGTGGATGCCTTTCGAATTGATGCTGGCGTGGAAGACAGAATTATGACATGTCCAGTTAACTCCTTCCAAATAATAGTTAGACAGATGCCTACTCAGTGCCATGTCATAGCCTCATCAGAAAACTCACCTCCCTGCCTCCACCTCACAACCTCCACTCTAGCAACAGAGCCACCATGTCAACTGAGGCTCTACAATTTCATTCTTCACCATGAATCTTCGCTCAAAAACCACCATATGGAATCTCAGGTTCCAAATCACAATCCAATCTTCTAATAACTAAACCCAAAACACTGCTAGAAAACACCTATTTCATACACTAACTCATTAAAAAAAAACCCTTCAATTCAAGGAGAAAATAATGTCCCTCGAAATCATAGGCTTGGACTCCGGTCGAGCACTCTCCCAAAAACGTCTCGCCACATCGCATCTTTGCATCCCACGAAATCATCACATTCTTCCAGTCCAAAAGTGAAAAATGCAAAATTCGACCCTACTACACCTAGAAGTGGGTGATTAGGTGTAAATGCGAAATTAATACTTAATTAACATGCAACAAGTTACAAGTTAATTATGTCCAGGTGATTACTCAAACAGTTCAATTTAACCTATTTTGAAATACCGCAGTAAGCCAAAGCAGTAAATAAAGTAATAAACAACACCGGAATTGTTCACGGAGAAACCCAACGTGGGAAAAACTCCGGGCACTTTGCTAGTCAAAGATCCACTATAAACTGACAATAAAACTTACACACTACCAGCAAAGTTGACAACACAAGCTTTCTGATCTCCTGTCTGAAGTATGAAGCAGCCCTCCTGGAATGTGCACACCAACACCAATCCTGGTTCTTTTTTGTAAAGCAGTCCTCCTGGAATGAGCACACGAACTCCAATCCTGACTTTTTACACAGTTTATCTCATGTAGATCTTTTTCAAGAACTTCTCATTCTTCAGATTCTTCATTAATCTTCAATGCAGCATAGTTGACAACACAATCTTGTAGCAGACCCAAGCGAAGAATGCAATCCAGTGTTTGATTTGATATCTTTGATGTTTTTACAATGACAGGCACATGAACAGTGGAATGATTGAACTTTGATTCTAGTAAAGAATGTATTCTCCTTGAATAATATGATGTTCAATCTCACTCACAGAAAATACGGCGACTCAATATATTGGTTGGACGAAATAGGTTGCATGGGCCAAGTGAAACTCTCCGAAATAGAAAATTAGGTTTGCCCGAATAATATGTCGCTCGAGCGAGGTGGCTTCTTCGCTTGAATGAAGGGTTTGTCGCTCGAGCTACAGTGGGGTGAAAGTCGAGCGAGGTGGTTGCTGTTTTAGTCGTTCGAGCATTACTCCGGCGAGCAGTTAGCGAAAATTCGGCGTGAATCTTTCTTGTTCCAAACATAAAACCCCAAACCCTAAGCTAATCTATCAACTATGAAACTTTACAATTTCAGCTAGCGAAAATCCGGCGTGAATTCTTCTTGTTCCAAACTCATAACTCAAAACCCTAATTCTAATCCACCAACTATGAAAATTTAAAATTTAGTCCCTAAACTTTTAGAATTGTTCAAGTTGGTCAATTTGTTCATAGAATCGTCAATACAAAATATAAACCTAACAACAAAAGCATCCACCAAAAGGATTTAGGCAGAATCTTTGACATGTGCCCACAAAATCTAAAATCCGACATTAAAACTGACATTAACCTAGTTTTCAATTTTCAATCCTATGATTTAAAGTCTCTAACGAGAATTTTAGAAAGGTGATAAACCAATGTCCAAAACTGTTAATTTCCAGTGTAAGATACCAGCTTAAACTTACTTTATTCTATCTTCAACGATTAGGCTTCAAGAATATGTATTCATTGGGCTTATCAAGATCCTATTTTGTTAGTTTACAGTGTGGAGAAGATGTTGATTCCTAAGCTGAATTATTTAGTAACTTTAGGATTTTCAAAAGATGATATTGTCAAAATCAAGCCTGAATTTGAGTATTTTGACCAGGTAATGACAGGTGAATTGCATGAACTAAAGGAATTTCCACATCATTTTGCATTTAGTTTGGACGGGAGGATAAAGCCCAGGCACACGGAGGTTGTACAATGTGGAATTGTGGTTAGTTTGCCATTCGTGTTAGCACTAAAGAGAAGTTCAGAGAATTGATAAGGCAAGGGGATGGATAAGAGCGCTGAGGCATATCCCATTCCATCTCCAGTTTGATTGACTAATTTTTGAAATAAAGCTGACTAGGCAGAGATTTTATCATTTGGAAAAAGTTAACTGGATATGTCATCATTCCGTCCTCCACATTAGCATCAATTCAAACGGCATCCACCCGGTGAGTAATGGACAATGACTGAGAAAAATTTAGTGACTAATGGGACGCTTTTGAAAATTCAATGGGTAAGTCGTGATATAGTACAAAGTGCAGTAGCCATTGAAACATTTAATTCCTATTATTTGCATCAAAGAAACATGCGACTTCATTTATAATATAACATTTCCTTTTTCTAATACGATTTTCCATGTTCTAAAATGCGCGAAAATGTGCCGATTAGGCGCGACGCGGATCCAAAAAACGTCGAATTCAGGAAATGCGCGAAAAATACGCTAATCCAATCTATTTTTTTATGATATAAAAATATATTTAATACTTTAAAAATACAAAACGCATTATAACGTTTATTCTTTACATTGACACGCTTAATCTTGAGATTCTTCATTTTCGATTTCGACACATTTACCATTTTACGACACTGACAATTTTACTCTCTCTTCTCTTCTTCTTCATTTCCCTCTTATCTCCTTCGCTATCTCTGTTTCTCCGTCTTGTGTGCAGGTTCACTCCCCACCTATTCCAGCAGAAATGCCAAATTGTTGTCTCCTAATAATACCCGAAACCTCAATCCATTAGTTTAACCCAATTCTTCGCTAGAAGAAACATGTATTACCTACTATTTGGCACTCCTAAACCCTTCATTAATTTTCCCACCAATTTTTCAGACCTAAAATCTCACAAAAGATTAAGCTTTTCCTCCATACATCCAAAAAGATTGCATTTTTTAAATAGTCCACGCGCTTTTTTGCAAAAACCCGGTTCAAATTCCAAGGCTTCGGTGAATTCTGATGTTGAGAAAGAGGATTTTATGACTAGGGTTTTAAGGGAAAACCCCAGTCAAGTGGAACCTAAATATTTGGTTGGGAATAGATTGTACACATTGAAAGAGAAGGATAGTTTGAGTGAAAAGCGTTTTGATAACCCGGTTTTTGAGATATTGAGGAGGTTGAATTTGAAGGCATTGGTGGGTAGAAAGGAGATTGATATTGACAGCAATTCGGTGAAGTCAGAAGGAGTTTATTTGAATGATATCCTGAGGGAGTATAAAGGAAAGCTTTATGTACCCGAGCAAGTTTTTGGGATAAATTTATCTGAGGAAGAGGAGTTCAACAGGAATTTGAAGGAGTTGCCCAAATTGAGCTACGTGGATTTTCAGAAGTACTTGAAGAGTGATAAAATAAAGTTGATGACTTTTACGGAGAATAGTGGTAATTATGCATACAGGGATTTTGTGGTCGATTTGAAAGAAATACCTGGAGAAAAGAGCTTGCATAAAACTAAATGGTTTGTACTGTAACACGTGACATTTTGTCTTTGATTATATTTGGTCTGCTTGATGTTGTGAATTTTGGTTATAGGGCAATGAAGCTGGATCGAGACCAAGCCCAAGCTCTTTTGGGGGAGTACCAGGGTCCAAGATATGAAATCGAGAAGCAAATGATGGTATTCTATCTGAGTTTCATTAGCAATTCCTAGTAGAATATCTGCTTTTGCTAATGGTATGCAAATATACTCAATTGACTCGGGTTGGAATTGTGTGGATGGAGAGAAAATAGGAAGCTGGAGGTAAATGTTAAAAAATGCTGTTAGAGATTTAAACGATATTTCTTGCTGGAATAGTCTTTCATTACAGTGAGAAATGATAAGACTTTTTCACAAGGAAGCTTTGGATCTAGTTATTATTTCGTCCCTTCTCTGTTGAGGTTTAGGAATTGCTGTCAATAAGAATTCATACTTTTATCACTCACTCTGTGTCTCGTACTAAATGGAGTTCTTTTGTAAGAGAACTTGTGACTCTCAGTTAGGGTTCAAATAAACTATGAATGGAATCTATGGTTGAAAGATTAGGCTGAGCGTTCAAGAACTCTTCTGCTATCATAACCATTAACGTAAATAATGGATATTCTATGCATGTGATGGTGATAAATACATACCTTTCATTTTAATGTCTTAAAACATACAGCGAGCTATGTTTTTGAACGAAAATGTACAAATTCTCATGTGCCAACAGGATGAAACACACTGCAGAATACGCAATGTTTCAAGAATTTGGAAGTATAATTTGTTGCATATTTTGGGCTCCATTATAATGTGTTTTTGGGGAAAATATATTTTGCAATAATGATTATTTTGAAGAATGTGTAGTTAAAAAAAAAGGAAAAATTTTGGATTTACGTGTAATGTTATTTTATTGGAGAACGCATGGTTAAAAGCGGAGAGAGAAATATACATTTTGGATAAAATGGAGCCCAAACGACCACTAAATACATACCAAATGGTCAAATTAAGCACTATGTGTGATTTTTCTTTATCACAATCATCCACCAGTTTTTAAAAGCACATATGGTCTACCAAGAATTTGTTATTAAGTTGCAAAGAGTTCTCCTCCTTTTTCCTTTTCCCTCCCGTCTGACAGTTAGTTTTGTTTTTATAGTCCTATGTAGGAAAATTGCCAGAATATCCTCACCCAGTGGCATCTAAAATATCGAGTAGAATGATGGTTGAACTTGGAGTGCTGACTGCTGCAATGGCTGCGGCTGCAGTTGTTGTTGGAGGATTTTTGGCTTCTGCAATATTTGCAGCTACCAGCTTTGTTTTTGCTGCGGCTGTATATGTCATATGGCCTATTGCCAAACCATTTCTGAAGCTATTTTTTAGTCTCGTTTTTGGAGTTCTTGAAAGAGCATGGGATAATCTTGCCGATATTTTTGGTGATGGAGGAATCTTTTCCAAGATGTATGAAGTATACACTTTTGGTGGGGTGTCTGCTAGTCTTGAAATGTTGAAACCAATTATGCTGGTATTTTTGACCATGGTTCTTCTTGTCCGTTTTACCCTTTCTAGAAGACCAAAGAATTTTCGAAAATGGGTGAGCATTGCTTCCCACAACTTTTTTCTGGCAGGCTAGCTGTTTATGCGAAGTGTCCCTCACTTCTTTCTATTTCATGCAGGATATATGGCAAGGCATTGAATTTTCTCAATCAAAACCACAAGCTCGTGTGGATGTCAGTTCTACTTCTTAATTTACTTCTTATACTCGCGTTCCTAAACTTCCTCATAAGCGGGTATAATTTTTGGTCTTTTTAATGTAATGGTTATCTTCTTTCAGGGTTCCACTGGAGTCACATTTAATGATGTGGCAGGGATTGAGGAAGCAGTTGAAGAGCTCCAAGAGGTATATACTTTGGTTACATGTTATAGTTTCTATATTATGTTCAGTTTTTCATTACCCTGAAAAAAACAATTACCAGTGACTTATTTCGTTCTAAGTGAAATCCTTTTTTTGAACATAAAACAATGACTATAATATTTTTTCCTAATAAACTTGGATTAGCTACATGAATGATGAATCATTTTTCGCTGCTCCATTTGATCCATCATTGCATTTTTTAAAAACTCCAATGAAATCAATTCTTTGCAACTACATCCCATCCGTTCATGTTAAGTTTGGTTTACTTCTTCCTCTTTAAATTGTTCTATTAGATTGCATTACTTTTGTAAATTAGAGCTTCTATAGGTATATGCAAGCAATGCATCACCCCCCAAGTAGTCATTCCCTTAACTGGTTCTACATCTTTTTCTTGGTTTGTATCCTCATTTCTCACTATCCATTCTATATGATCATAATCCATGTTAACATTTTCATATCTGCAGTATTCACTTTATGGAAATTTTGTCCTTTTAACAACTGGCGAAATCCTTTCTAGACACAAGAGGAAGAAAAAAAATTCCCTTTTAACCCTCACAAGTTAGAGAAAAATTGGATGATTGTTACAAGTTTGTTAAAAGGTCGATGATTGCATATCTACTAGGGGCTGGAACTTCATTTCTCTTGAAACTTGAAAGTAGTCAAATCTCTTTGCGAATATTTGGATGACAAATTTGTTTTACAGAATAAGACTTGTGAGGCTGAAATAGTAAGTGATATATGTCTTCTCGTTAATTCTAAATGTAATAGAATAATTCAGCCATGTTCATTAAAGTTCGATGTTGACTAATATTCAGATCGCAAATCTTGCCAACTCACTGATTTTCTGTTTGACTGTCGATGCTGGTTAGTTGGTGCGATACCTGAAAAATCCTGAACTATTTGATAAAATGGGGATAAAGCCTCCACATGGAGTTCTTCTCGAGGGCCCTCCAGGATGTGGCAAGGTTGGTTGTCTTTTCTAGAATCACGTTACACTTAAAAGAGTGATATTTTCTCAATTGATTTCTAAATAGAATCACATGTTGCCTTATCAGACTCTAGTTGCCAAGGCCATAGCGGGTGAGGCTGGTGTTCCATTCTACCAAATGGCTGGATCTGAATTCGTGGAAGTTTTAGTTGGTGTTGGTTCTGCTCGTATAAGAGATTTATTTAAGAGAGCAAAGGTAAACCATTCACGATTTTTATTCAGCGAAACTCGTGAATATAACTCATTATTTTTTATCGAACCATCAATTTTGCGAAACTGATGAAATTTATGCATTTAATTATTATGTCATTTAATCTTTGATGAATTAGCTTTCCACTGGCTTGATTTGTGATCGTCAATTGTCACTATCTTCTTTCGGAAACATCTAACATAATTAATATTTTTATCAGTAATGTGATCTAACTTCATGTTGACAATCTTTCCGCCTACGGAAAGTTTGACAGGTTATGCACTTTTTTATCCAAGTCTGGTTGGACACCTTAAACTCGTATAAAAATTGAAAACTTATAACCATATATTATTACCGACTCTGGTTCTTCTTTACTCAAGATATCTATTCAATCATTATGACGAAATTACTCAAAGATCTATGTTATGTACTCAAATATGGTCTCAAATAGTGATATTCTATTTATTATAAAGGCTATTGCATGGGCGGACCTAGGGGGAGTCCTGAGGGGGCAAGTGCCCCCCAACTTTTGAGATTTTTTAAAAAAAATAAAATCGTGTTTGGTATCGATTGAAATCTAAATTTTAATATAAATCAAAGTTAACAATTAATTTTAATAATATATTTCGTGAAATCTATGACTGTTTAACTTTTATCAAAATTTACTAAAAATTTGATTTTAATCTCCACCAAATAGGGGCAAAATCACAATAAATTTAAATTTCGATAGCATGCTAATTTTAAAAATTCTCCAACGATCGTACGCTAATCGAATCTACAAATTGCTTATGTCATCTCAAAGCTTATTTTGAGAACTACATTATGGGCATATCGAATGGTCCAAACAGATATCGAAAATAGTTAAAAATACGTTAAACGTGAGTCTTACAAGAAAAAGTCTTAACTCGCATTTTTTTTAAATTCAATTATTTCATTAACATTTATTATTTTTGCGATACAAATTTCTCAATGTAATTTTTATCATTTTATTAGGAAATTTTATATGGAATATGATATCAAAAAGTTTCGAAAATTTAAAAAGTCTTAACTCGCATTTTTTTTAAATTCAATTATTTCATTAACATTTATTATTTTTGCGATACAAATTTCTCAATGTAATTTTCATCATTTTATTAGGAAATTTTATATGGAATATGAAATCAAAAATTTTCGAAATTTACATCTGAAAAAGTCATATCCCATGTAAATTTTCGGATGTAAAATTACATGGAGTATGATTTTTTTGGACGTAAATTTTCGATTGTAAAATTTTTCTCAACTTCTTTGCAAGTTCGATTGTGGCCCCCTAACTTTTAAGTTCTGCGTCCGCCACTGGGCTATGGTGTTGGCAAGAACATGGGTTTCTAGGATTTTGAGGGATCCCGAACTTTCACCATGCAATAGTGCAGGTGCTTATTGATCATAGTCAAATTGGTGCTACACTTCTCTTCTTGCAACCAATAAAATATACCTTCATAACATTGGCAAAGTTAAAGGATTTTATTAAACTCTAAAGGGAAAATGTTAATAACTTGTACATTATTTCTACCACAAGGACTTTCGGAATTATGAGAACAATTTTCTTCACTATGCTTTTGGTAATGAAGATGATTACTTTAATACATGATGAAACATGACTTGATAACTCTTTTTACAGGTAAATAAACCATCGGTCATTTTTATTGATGAAATTGATGCACTGGCTACAAGGTATGGTGGTTCTAAATTTTCTTTCAGCTAATAGTGTGTTTGAATTTAGAATTAAGTTAAACGAACATAATGCTTGACATAGGGATTCACCGACCTCTCACATTGCATGTGAGTCCCGACCTGAATTAAATAATGCCAACCTCCCCCATGTGTGGTTGTGTCATCCCCTATGTCAATCATTATGTTTGTGTAGCAAAACTCTTGAATTTACTGTAAATTATAACATCTATGCTTCTTACGTAATTATAAAAGAAAACTTTTCTTGATGGAGACCTTTTTGATTCCTACATGGTTAAATTTATATATGTAAAGCAGAGTCCAGGAGTAAAAGCTAGAGCCTCTTAGTCTTTTTTCAGCGTTTTCATAATATAATGAAGTTATTCATACTTTCTGATACTTCATCTGTATAACCAACCAATCCTTGCATCCCTCTGTTTTCTTATATGTTCTTTGTTTCGTGTACTCTTGGCCAATTCTACTATTCTATTTCCTTATTGATGTTCCACTTGGAGAATATATATGATCCTAATTGTTAATTATACTTTATTAATAAACAGGCGTCAAGGAATATTCCGCGAGACAACAGACCATCTATACAATGCAGCAACTCAAGAAAGAGAAACCACATTGAACCAACTCTTGATAGAACTAGATGGATTTGATACAGGAAAAGGTGTCATATTTTTGGGTGCCACTAATCGAAGGGATTTGTTGGACCCCGCACTTCTTCGTCCTGGTCGGTTCGATCGCAAGGTTGTACCTTTAAATAGGATATAGAGTTATCAAGGGGTGTTTAACTCCTTATCATCAGCCGTTATAATTTCATTTTCAAACTATTTATCTGTTGGTTCTCTTGAACATTACATGGCTAATCATTATTTTTTTGTTTATTCATATAGATAAGAATCCGACCTCCAAATGCAAAAGGAAGATTGGAAATTTTGAAAGTTCATGGCCATAAGGTGAAATTATCAGATACTGTTGATTTGACCAGTTATGCAAACAACTTGCCTGGTATGCATTCTATTTAACTACTAATATTTGAAGAAATTGTTGTGATTGTTCTGTTCATTGCTAAATAATCTTTATTTTGGAACACACTTAAATAATGTAAATCAGGGTGGTCGGGTGCAAAGCTAGCACAGCTGCTCCAAGAGGCAGCTCTTGTGGCTGTCAGGAAAAGGCATAATGCAATTCTTCAGGAAGACATGGATGATGCAGTTGACCGACTTACTGTGGGACCCAAGCGTGTTGGGATAAAATTGGGCCATCAAGGCCAATGTCGCCGAGCTACTACGGAAGTGGGGACCGCTTTGACTGCTCATCTGCTAAGGCGCTTTGAGAATGCAAATATTGAGAGATGTGATCGCATATCAATCAATCCTCGTGGACAGGTCCATACCCTAGCTTTTTGGATTTTGTTAGTCTCCTAAAAGTTTTTTTTTTCAGTTCTTGGCAACTTTGGTCTGTCTTACCTGTGATGTTGCACAACCTTCGAGTGCTTTTAGTGGTAAATGAAAAGGGGGCATGGGTTTTACGATAGTACTAGGAAATCTGAAACAGCGAAAAAATGTAAGCACAACACAATACTCAATCTTGGTAGACATAAAGATATAGAATATTTGACCTCAACAAGGTTAATCTAGACTATGTTGGATTATTTGTGACCAAGCAAGCACCGTAATTAAGACTTGCCCATGCCCATCAATAAAGAAGACATCAAACTACCCTTAATTCGATAAACATAATAAATCAAAAAATAAATCTGGCAGTTTTCTAATCACATATTTTATTCTGAAAGTATTATCACCCGTTCACATCCATTGTAGAATGTGTCTTGCCTTTCTTTTTGTTCTACTTCCGGCGTCAGTCTGGTATTGATTAACCCACTTTTTGGGGCACAAGTTGACAGATGTCTTTTATTTACTGTCATATAAAATTAGTATTTCCATACTTAGCTTTAGTTAATTTTTTGATCTACAATCTGTGTGGATCATGAAGTTGAAACTAAAGGTCTTTATGAGGATACTTTCAGGAGAATAATGGTTTTCTATCCAAACATTAAATAATTAATTACTCTTGATGTTACATGCAGACACTGTCTCAAGTTGTATTTCATCGTCTTGATGATGACGCGTACATGTTTGAGCGTCGACCTCAGTTGTTACACCGTCTTCAGGTTCACACTCGAGTTCTCCGGTTTATTTTTTATCACCCACGTGTTTCTTTAGCATTTGGTCATAAAAAGTGTCAAAATCTTCTTGGTAAAGGTATTACTTGGAGGCAGAGCTGCCGAAGAGGTCATTTTCGGGAGAGATACTTCGAAGGCATCAGTTAATTATCTTGCTGATGCATCTTGGCTTGCTCGTAAGATTATTACAATGTGGGTATCCATTTGTTGCCTTCTGCTGGTTAAAAAGAATTGATAAAACCTTCCTAGAACAGGCCATAAAAATTCTGTAATCCAGGGACAGTATCATATCTAATCAGATACTTGCTCTTCTTGCAGATGGAATCTGGATAACCCAATGGTGGTGCACGGAGAACCAGCTCCTTGGAGAAAGAGAGCAAAATTTGTGGGCCCACGCCTTGATTTTGAAGGATCACTTTATGATGACTATGACTTGATTGAGACTCCGGTCAACTTCAAATTAGACGATGACGTTGCAAAGAGGACGGAAGAATTGATCCATAATATGTATGGAAAGACCGTTGATTTGCTGAGACAGCATAGTGCTGCTTTGCTGAAAACTGTTAAGGTATGTAGTTGACATGCTTGATCTAGCTTCTCTCTTTCCCATCTATCTTCCCTACCTCCTTGGATGCAGTCATAAAATAATTAGGAGTTGTGATTTCCCTCTTATTCATAGTATGACTGGCACAACACGAGGCATTAGCATGCTTGGCCAAGTTTAAGCTTAGCCAAATGTGTGTCGAAACTTAGAAGTTACTTTTAAATAATTTTAGGTTTTTCTAGAAGTTACTTCTTATTGAAGATTTTAGTTCGAAAGCTTATTTCTTTAAAACTTTATTTTTTACTTTTCAAAATAGGTCTCGTTCTTATCTTTAGGCTTAGCTATCCTCTATTTGCATTGCAGGTTCTTCTTAATCAGAAAGAGATTCACGGGGATGATATAGAGTTTATCATCGACAATTATCCTCCGCAAACTCCCACGAGTCTTGTACTGGAAGAAAGAGATCCAGGGAGGCTTCCATTTTTCGAACAAAAGCAAGCAGAACTGGATGAAGTAGAATACAGCCTTCTGTCTTCATGAAAAGTAAGGATTTTATCTGATATAGTAAGCAGTTTTCTGTGAATCCAGTCAATTTGATAATTACTTGGTTCGGACGAGCTCGGTTTCTCCAATAATGATCCATATGGAGAAGACGAAATAAAATCCAAATTTTGTTATGTACCATTTATTTGCAATGTTATTGATAATCGATTGTTGGATTTCACGATATCAGTATTGCTGGTTTAATATAATTCTTATTATTTATGAGACTATCTCGAAACACTTCATTTATAGAGTAAATTAGGCCAAATGCTCTAAAAAGTGACCCAATTAGAATAGTACCCTAAATTAATTAAACATTACACGAATCTGTATTAGAAATCCCAAAATCTCTTAACTGAGTACAGATATCACAAACGCCGCTGTGATCCATTCCCCGCTATTCTCTGCGGCAAATTTCTTCCTGGAGAATAAGCTGTTCAATGACACGCTTCTCCTCGACTCGACTAGTATTCCACCACCTTATCCTTCATTCATCAATTAAAAAAAACGAATCAATCATAAAACTCAAATTTAACAACAAAAGAAAGATTCATTCATCGATGCAGCAATAATCGTAAACTAATCAATCAATTAACTCAAAATTAACAACAAAAAATAGACTATAAAAGAAATAAGAAGGTTTACCTCGTAAAATTTGTGTTGTAAAATGAAATTAATGAGTCAAAGAGGATTTCTCCATAAAATTGATTGATATCCTCGTAAAATTTGTGATGTAAAATGAAATTAATGAGTCAAAGAGGATTACTCCATAAAATTGATTGAATTATTTTTCCCGCGGAAATGCGACGAAGTAGAGAAGAGGAGAAAATGCACGCCTGAGAAATGAGAGGGTGCAGATTTGGCAGTTTGTTTTCGTTTGGAAAATTAAAATTTATGTACGAAAATAATTATGAAATAAATTTGTAAATTGTACGAATGGTTGAATTTGTATGAAACGATATATTTTAACGTTTTGATTGGTGTTTTGTTACTTTTTTTTAGTGTTTGTTATTTTTTAAAAATCTTCTCACTTTTATAAGTGTTTGTTACTTTTTTAATAGTGTCACTTATTTATTTATTTTCTATCACTTATTTATTGTTCTTGTTACTAAAATAGCGACGAACATAGATTTTCTATTAATGTTCAAGGGTGGCACTTTTTTTGAGTTTGTCAATTTTTTTGAGTGTGTGTTACTTTTTAAAAAAAATTCAGTTACTTTTTTGAATTTTTATCACCCTTTTTAGTGTTTGTCACTTTTTTTGGCCACATTCTTGAAATTGATGACGTCTTTTTGAGTGACAAACATCACTTTTCATTAAAAAAAATGTTATTTAACTTAAAAAGTGTATTGCGCCACTTTTTATATTAAAAAGTGACAATTAATTTTACACAACATTTTTTTCTTTTAAAATACTTTTCATATGATTTTTCAAAGGACCTGTAATTTTAAGTGTATTTTTATAAGTTGTCATTTATATAACATGTAAATTGTAGGATGCGGAATTCTCCATCCAGCCCACTTGTAAATAGTAGATGGAGTGAGGATGAGAAACACGGTCCATGTTCCTAAATTTTCCTTCGAATCTATTTATACCTACTGGTGGCAAAAAAGTTCGTCGGCTCGGGCTCGGTTCGAAAAAGCCCAAACTAGGCCAGGCTCGGACTCAGTGGAACCGAGCCTAGGCTCGGGCCGAGCCCCATTTTGGGGGGTCGGCCCAAGCCGGGCCGGCCAGTAATTAATAAAAAAAATTAAAAATAATAAAAAAAAATTTTAAAAGCTAAAATAGCTTAAAAAAATAAAAAATCGAGCAGGCTCGGCTCAGCGCGCTAAGGCTCGGGCCAAAGCTTGGGCCGAGCCTTATTTTTTTTGGCGGGGCTCGGCTCGGGCTTTTTTTTTTGGGCTCGGGCTCGACTCGTTGACACCACTATTTATACCTACAATTGTTCCTTAATGATCTTCATACTTTTAATAGGTTATATTATATAATATTTTCATTATAAATTTCATTTTATACATATTTTTAATGGGTTAAATCCACTAATGATCACCCAACTTTATACTTAGTGTCACTATGATCATCCAATTTTATTTTGTTTCATCATAGCTACTAAATTTTATACTATTATCATGACCAACCAACTTCTTTTAACCTTTTTCGCTAATTTTAAGAGGGGCAAAATGGTAAATTTGTATTATATATATAAAATAAATTTTAAAAAAATAAAAATAGAAGTTTTTTATTTTATTTTTAAAACTTTTTTTTAAAATAAGTTTTTAATTTATTTTAAAAACATTTTATAAAATAAGTTTTATTTTATTTTATTTTTTAAGTAACGTTTTTTTAAATAAGTTTTTCTTTTATTTATTTTTTAAAATAATTTTTTTAGAAAATTTATTTTGTATATAATGCAAAGTTACCATTTTACACATTTTAAAATAAGTGAAAGAAGTTCGATAATCATGGTGAAATGTTATATAAAATTGGGTGGTCATAATAAAACGTTATATGAAATTGGATAGTTATGATAAAATAAAATCGAGTTGAGTGGCCTAATGACACTAAGTATAAAGTTGACAAAATCAAATTGGGTGGCTATGGTGACACTAAATATAAAGTTCGGTGGTCATGGTGTATTTAACCCTATTTTTAATATGCATCAAAAAATTGTCATTTCCATTCCACTTGATTTCGTACAACTTTTTAAGTTTATCGAATTACATAAATGTATTTATCTAGAATTTGAACTTTATAGTTGAGCTCAATGTGTTACCTAAAAATGGAAGAGCCATGTTAGTTGTACAACCGAAGTTGACAACCTCGGTCGACAACTGTTCACATGGGGGAGAGGTTCACTTTTTTTTTTTTAGAATTTTTTAAATATGCGGACCCCACACACATGTGAGAGGTTGTCAATCGAAATTGTACAAATAATTTTTTCCAAAATTGAATTACCAAATTAATATTTTGTTATTTTTTAATCATGTTCAATAGCTGTCTGGGCATAAAAATATCTAGAATTAAGGTGTCGAGTATATTTTAATATTCTAATCAATCTATTAATAAAATTAAATTAAATTAAAATCAGTTAAGATTTCTAACCGTATCAAAATTCTCTTTCCTTTTCTTGCACTCTCTTTCTCTTGTCTGACTGTTGACTTAATTGTCGGAGTGCAAACGATCGTCAAACATATTCCTAATGGGGTGTTTTAGTGTACAGGTCATGTCCATATGAAAAGGAGGTGGAAGAAATTCTATTAGTGCATTTTTTTGGATCCACGTTAAGCATCTCACAATTAACAACATTGACAAGAAAAACAGCTTTTGCGAGCTATCTCTGTCTCTGTTCTTCTCATTTTGGTCTGTTGTTTTCTTGTTCTATACTAAATTTGGCCTCACCTGCGGCAACGAAGGTTCTAGCTGCTTTTCTTCTTGTTCATCTGCCTTAATTTCTTATGCCCATTTCTGTATTTTTAATTTTCGGCTTGCCGGCCCTTTTAAGTTTGGTGAATATTTGATAGTGGATTTGTTTACATTTGAAGTTCCCAATGTTTATTAATTTGGTAAGTTTATTGGATTCTTGATGTTTTAAGGTTAGAGAATTTGGAAAATCTACTGGGTTTTGGCTAATTTATTATTAATGGATTTGGGGGTACTAAATGGAAGTTTCCTTTCGAAATTGTTTATGGCAAGTAGAAAATTTGCTGAATCGCTTAACTTAAATTGCCCCATTGTGTTAGCAGTTGAAAATTGTTATAAACGACTAATAAAATACCGGTTAATTTCGATACCAATAACGTGAAAAAAATATGAAATAATTGATGACAAACTCAAGAATAAAATAATTGACAGATGAATGAAGATTTTATTGAGAAAAGTAGCTCAATCTTGTTCAATACCAATGGTAAACCCATGATTACAAGAAAATGTCTTTGAATCTTTCTATGAACAGCTCATATGCAGGCTCAGGAGCTATAATGATGATTATTTCCCCCAACAAAATCAAGAATTGAATACGTTGGTTTCTTTCTCTCTAACAGTTTTCTACACTCAGATTATTTTTTGAAAGTTCCTTGTTATCCTTTACTCTTTGTATTTTTCTTTGTTTTTTAAACCAAGAAGACAAAGAATTGTGGTAGAAATGGAAGGTAATTAAACTCATTCTTCCCTTTTCGTGATATATATTTATTTATTTTTTCCAGGAAAATTCAGCAGAAATGAGTTCGAAAGTAGCTAAATTGGGGCTAGCTGCTATTCTTGCTTATGGCATATTTGATGGTGTCACCTATACTAGTTTCTTTGTGCTCGCGTTTCTTGGGTATGAGAAAAGCACTGGCAAGAATCCTGCAGCCAATCTTCAAGCTCTGTTAGGGGTAAGAATTTCTTATTTTGTGAATTTTAAAGATTTTCTAATATTTGGAGTTGGGTTCGGAATTTGAAGCAATTCAAAATTTGTCTGAAAATTCAAAATTAGAACTTGACCCAATATGTGATTTTGCTGAAATTTAGGAATTTAAGCTCCTATTTGACGCCATTTCTTTTTCGTGTTTCCAAATTTTTGTACAGTCAATGTAGGGTCATTACTCAATCACTACTGTCATTCTATCATGAAGACTAAACCTTGTAAGTATCATGTTCACGTAAAGATGCAACAGCAAATGAGCTTATAAGGTTGATTATCATAATTAATTCTCATTTCGAAACCCCAATGAAATGCAAGAAATTGAAAATGTAGGAAGCATTGGAGTGAAGAAAGTATTCTCTTCACTCTTACGTGTCCAAATAGCCAATTCAAAAGAACAATATTGCAAAGGTAACAAACTAAATCTAATATACATTGTAATTAAATTATTAAGCCCCTTCCTTTAAACGTTGATTAAATGTAAGAAAAAAATTGGGTTTACGTGTAGAATATTTATTGTATGAATGTGAAGTTAAAAATAAATTAAATTAAAATAAAGGCCACCACGTATCTCTAGATTAAAGCAGACGATCCAATGACTACTTAATGTTAATTACATTTATCACTTAGTTGATTTAAGCAGCCAACAGCTACTTAATGTTAATACTTTTTCTTAAAAAAAAAAAAAAGAGTATTATCCTATTCGATTATGAAGAAAGACAAGTGATAGGAGAAAAAGAGTAATGAGAGCTGAATTTATTAATTACTAATTTTGGTTAGAAGTCCCAATTCCACTCGTCAATTAATATTTTACTATTTGTCATTGTTGTATGTATAACGAAATTTAATTAATTCGCACCAAGAAATAGGACGGACCAATTATGAGATAAAAATAAATAAATAAATTCACTAACGCAATGTAGAACAGACTCCTTAAAACGGTGTCGTATGTCAAATCTCATAATTACCCTTCAACTTAAACCGTATTTGCTTCTTCCCCTCTTCTCCTTCCAGTTACAAAACCATCAATTTCTCTCTCTCCAAACACAACCCTAACCCTTCGTTAGGGTTTTAAAATAGGGAAAAAATATTCACATTCATAGCCGTCGTTAGATATAAGCTAATTTAGGGTTTTTATTTTTTCGTTTTCATGTACTGCAAAGGGTTTGTCGATTTTATCTTATGACTTATGAATGGAGTTTACTATTTGTGGCTTTTTCTTCACTTCTTCTGATTCATCATTCTTCACTGCCCTAGCAACTACTCTTTTTTGCTTCATTTTTTCGGCTGTTTTTATTCTTCGGTCCTCAAGGAAACCAAAATTACCGTCAACCCCTTCCGAATTGGAAAATTTAAAGCCCTTTGATTTTGCATGCGCGGGAGAGAAGAGTATAAATCGCACTCGTGAAGAAATGACGCCTAGTTTGAATTGTGGTGGAGAGATTGGGGAAATAACTGTGGAGAGGCATACAGGGGCATCCATGATGGAGCAGCTGGTGCCGGAGATCACTACACATGCCCTTAGCTACTTAGATTATCCAAGCCTTTGTCGCCTCTCAATGACTAATTCACATATGCGCAAAGCTGCAAATGATGACAATGCATGGAAGGCTCTCTACCATAAGGTGCCTTTTCATAAAAAAAATTAAGTTTTAGTGCACGAAATTTTGTGATTTTTTTTCCTTTTAATCTGTCATATCATTGATTTAAAATGTCACGTAGCACGCTAATACTAAAACAGAAATAAGAGAATCAAGAAGGTTCTACACGTGTATTTAGTGAGAATTTTTTTTTACTGCTATCTCGATTGACAATAAACAATAAAGGAATTTTGATTCTATTGAATGACACATGCACGTTGAACGGGAAGTCCTGCAAAATTAGGACAATAGTTTCCTCATGTTATGATATCTTAATTGGATAGAATCCTTTAGAAAGAAATCATCACGGCATCACCTGAACATAAAATAAATCTAGGGTATAAAAGTTGTCTCATCTGCATAATGCTGTATGAGTAGGGACCTGTTCTGCACGTTTATTTTTGCATTTTGTCACCAGCTATTTTCTTTAAATAAACAAAAGATCTTAGCTTTTGAAAAACTTTAAAATGCGATGCTTATGGTTGCTGTTTGTCTATGTGACCTGAGCTTTCTATAAATTTGGTATGACATTCTTAAATTAGTTATTGAAAGTCGAGATTTTGGAGTGGAAAATCTGCAAAGTTAATACTTTTTTTTTTATATGTATAAAGTCTAAAGATAGGTATTTTAAAGAAGAAACATGATAAGTTTTAGACACCCATTGTTATCGGATTAATGTAAGCTGCAAGGCATTGATTCTTTGATCCATACCTCCAATGCCCAGTATCTCATAACTTGGTTTTGGCATGGATACCTTAGTTATTCTAAGGTTGGTTTTCCTATTATTGATGTCAAAGAAATAATTCACATGTAACTATCAATGTATGTCTAGACTGGACTTAAATATTTGTGACTAAGGTACATGCCACAACCTTTTGTTATTAGGATAGTTATCAGCTTCTTGTTCATTTTCCAACATGTTCATGCAATCCTTATCCTCCAAAAGGGAGAGCAAGATGAAGTAAGGAGTAGAGATCCTTGATTTTATTTATTCTATTTAGTTGAAGTCACCTCAAAAGTGAGAAAGAACCCAATCAGGCCGAGATAGAGATTAAAGTTCTCTTTCATCCTGCTTCTTTGAGAAGGAGACAATTTTGAATTCATTTGAATCAAGTTCCAAATGCTTGCCTTTCTTCTTATAGTCTATGGAACAACTCTTTCTTTTGCTTAAAACTTATACACGAAGGGAGCACGTACTTCTTTTTCTTTGTAGGGTTAACGTTTCCGCTATTTATTTATCTCCCTGACTGATAATTGAAAGAATAAAATGTATGGCCTGAAGAGTGTTAATGCTGCAGAACATTTTATTGAGAATAACTTACATGTAATGAATTATATTTTTCAAAGATGCTTCACTTACTGGAGTTTACAACTCACAGATTATCATGTTTCTTTGGAGCTCTTTTGATTTATGTTTTTGCTGTCGTCAGTTATTAAATCCCAGATTGCCATTAGATTTCTCAGGTTTTGGTAACTGCAATTCTATAACAAAAAACTTGTATGTAAGTGTGTTAATATGGCAGAAGAATTTCTAAATGGTATTTTATCATTTAAGTTATGGTTGAAATGGTGAGCGATTACTACTTATTTCTTTTCTTCATCTTTCTCTAGGATTTTACTTTGGAACAAGACAGTTTGACACCAATCAATGGATGGAAGGCTTACTATGCTGCTACAAGAGCCATTGTTAATACTAATGTTGAGTTTTTTAGAATCATTACAGAAAGATCACTTCCAGCAATGGGTCAGTTTTGGCTTAATGTAGATTATGTGAAATGTTTTCATGCAACTGGAGAGTCTTTTACTGGGTACGAGGCTTTCTATCTGTCATTTAATCTACTGTAATTTACCCATCTGGAGGGTTAGAGCTTAATCCCAGCTCTTCAATTCCCTTCCCACCTCTTCTTCCTTGAACTTGCTTCTTTTCTTTTTAAATTTTTTGCTGTCTTTTTGCTTTAAATTTTTTTATATCTTCAATGGTTTGGTTTGAATCTTAAAAATACTGTAAATGCTAAATTAAACTTACGAAGTCGAAGATTAATGATGTAGAGGTTCTTTTGGATAAAAGTGCATGGGTGGTTATAAGGAAATGATTAGAAGGTTCATGTAATATCTCCAATACTGTTTTCAATTGTTTTCTTGTGACCAAGTCTATTTTGAGTTTAGTTCATATTGAAACCTTCAGTAACAAATACAGAACATAAGTGGAGATGGTGTTGATATTTTCTTTCACATGTGAAAATTTAAGATAACATTGGTTTCTAAGAAGCATTTTTCATTAGAATTTCAATGACCTCTTTTAAGTGTTTGTGCGCGGTAAAATATGTTGCTTGCAATTTTTGTTTTGTTTCTACCATCTCTAGGTGATCTTTCTCATTATCATTTATGCTGAATACTTTTACGTAACTCCTGCTTCCTTGCCTCTTTTCTGCACGTATAAAATAAAGCACAATGATTAAGTCGAAGATGGTATTGTTTTAAAAAATAACATTAGCAGTAATAACAACAATACAATACTTACTAGTAAGAAAGATATGTGTATGCTAAAGGAATTTTGTCTTCTGGCAGACGTTGTTGAAGTAACCAGAAAAGGGCTTTGGACCATCCTTGATAGGGTTATGAGCAAATCTTAGTGTTAATATAAATAGGGTGAATGCCACTCATGCTGGAAAGTTCTTTCCCTTCTCAATATTTGTAGCCATTTTTGTCTGTCATATCATATTAATATATCGCACACTGAGGATATTGTTGAATACTATTGTAGTATAAACCTTTTTCCTTTCCCCGTTGCAGTTACAATGCAGTCATGGAAAGCTGGCAACTAGCATTTAGCTGGGAGAATGTTGCTGATTTCCAGATTCGAGATGTAAGAGCGCGGGTACTGACAGATATGGCTTGGGTTACCATGAAAGCTTATCTCAACATGGAGACTGGGCCATTCAACGTGACTAATGTTTATGAGTTTTATAATGGGAGATGGTACATGGTGCACCATCACAGCTCTGCAATGCTCATTCATGGAGGTGGTGAGCAACAATTTCTGCAGCAAGCATGACAAGGAAGATACTAAAATTTAGTATGAAACTGAAAATTGGTATAGTTTTCTCTTTTACTATTGGTCATTACTATTAGAAATGACTAAGAAAATCCTTTGTGATTTCTTGAGAGATCTTAGTGATTTCTTTTCTTTTCGAACTTCAGAGTTAGCTCCCTGGTGTGTGGAAGCTCTCAGTTTCTGGGTACTTTTGTTTTGTTAATTTTTATTTTTTTTGGCAAATACATGCATAGATTAAGATTTTACGTCTTCATCATCGTCTTCTTCTTCTTCTTTTTTCTTTTCTTTTTTCTTTTCCGTTGGTTGATCGAGTGGAACTTTTGTTGAACATGATAGTTGGATTTTCAAAACGAAACTGGTAAATTACAGTTGGGATCTTCAAATTTTGCAGAATGTAACACTCGAATCTCCCGACCTATTTACATTGCGCTATCAGCTTTGACTCCTGTAAAATCTCGCAGCAAGAAAAGGAAAGAGGAAACTGTATATTACTATGTAATTATTGCCTCTGGCTGCTGCAAGGAGGAGAATTGAAGCATGTCGTTTCACTGGAGGCCGAGTGATTTCAAATTGCTTTATTTGAGGAGTTTTAGATATTTTAATGTATAAAATATTATTAAATTTAATATATTGATATTGCGCAGGTGCGACTCAAGTGGAACTGACAGCTATTAATTATTTTTGTTGAATTTTAATTTCTATAAAAATAACAAAAATCTTGAGGCTCTGAAGTCAGTTGTGGCATGACATATTTTTTTCCATTTTAAAGGTTCAGTCCCAGTCGTTTTTGACGCTTCTACCTACCAATTTTGCCCCTTGAAAGGATGCAAGTGCAAAAAGTTCAAGCCAGTACGTTTGCTGTAACGATTATATCATACGGAATGGCATCTCGGACTCTCTTATTCTCTAACGGATTTCATCGTGTCCCCAAGATTCGAATATATGAGGGGATAAGAGGATCATGTCTTTTTCAAAGCGATGAATAAGTATGATATAACAGTTTGGTCACAAGTCGAATCGTTACAAGAAAATGTGCATTTTTGTAACTATCCGACCTTTGTACTCAAGCCACTATATCTTACGTACTATGTGCTATGAGAAAGTATGAGATCTTCTTACTCTTCACGAATTTCTGTCACATCCCTTGGATCATAAAGGTACGCATAATGTTGGCTTTGTTTTCGATTTTTCCTTTTTAAAGTTAAATAAACTTATTATACAAAATAAGTATTTACTAATGGTCTTAAATAATGAGAATATTATTAAAAATAGAGGAACACCTGAGCACGTTTAGGCTCTTAAAATTATAGACTTGACAATGCCGCTTTAAGCATTTAAGAACATTGATAGTTTAAAATCAATCAAGGAATTGAATGTGAGTTGTTTACTGTTCAAGTAGAAATTGAGGAGAAAAAAATATTGGTACGCAGATTTAGAGCTTAATTTGAACCCCTTTTTTTTTTTTTTTTT